CAAGTGAAATTTCCCCTCATTTCAGCTTTTAAAGCGTCGATCGTTAAGGCGCTAATGCGTTTACCACGTTTCTCGATTAAAATATCCTGATTCGGTTCGATTGGCACACGATTCAGGAGCCACATAAAATTTATGGGCAGATCACCCCCTGATACGGTGCAGGTCACCGAGACCGTCTCGTCGTAATTCATCGCTTCATCACCAAACGAAAATGGAACTATCTTCGGCGGCACTATTTAATTATCAATGTATTTTTCGTGTTGAAAAGTTTGTTTCATTCAAAACTATATAACGAATTAGGTCCAATTACTGTATTCATTGTAATTGAATGTGTGTGTGTGTGTGTATTTACAAAGAGGGATTAAGAAAGAAACAAAAAATAGGTTGTGGAAAGGTTTAAATACCAAAACTAGAGAAATGCACAACAAATAGAAAAACTTAATGGTAACATTCGATTTATTGCGAAACATATTGACACAACGCTAACCATTCACAATTAATTCAGATGAGTGTACGACTGTTCCGGCGGAATTGGTTGAAATGCAAGAATACAGTCCAGCATGTTTTGCTTTCAACGATTCAATCATCAAGACATTGATGCGTTTGCCACGAGTTTCGGTCAATATTTCATGCCATGATTCAATTTCAGCACCATTTAATGTCCATTTGACATTTATCGGAAGATCTCCGCCAGATAAAGTGCATGAAATCGATACGGGTTCGTCTTGATTCATGGGCTCATCGCCAAATGAAAAGGGAGTAATTTTTGGAGGAACTAATGGATTTTCGTTTTTTTTAAGGAGATACGGATAAACAGAGAAAAAAAATATCCAGAAATATTATAAGGATGAAAGGAAAAAAGAAGCGCCAACAAATTTAACTAAAGATAAGTAACTGCGACCTTTTGAATACTAAACTAAGTTGCTGCACGGTTGGAATACACATTTTTACAAACCATTGACAGAAAGAATGGCAGAATGTTCGGATAAACCGCCAATATTTTTCGCACGACAAGAATACACGCCATCATGGTGGCCGACCACCGATTCGATTGACAGAACATGAATACGCTTTCCAATTTTCGACATGGAAATATCTTGCATTTGGTCAATTGATTTATTATTTAGCAGCCATGTAACAGAGATGGGTAAATCACCCCCTAAAATGGTGCACTGCACCGATGCTGGTTCACCAAAATTCAATGGCTCTTCACCAAAATCAAATGGTGCAATTTTCGGCGGTACTATAAATTCCATCAACAATTTAAGACAAAAGAAGCCATCAGAATCATAACAATGGTGTGGGACTAAAAAAAAGAAACTAATAAAACTAAGTATACTGGTAACTGTAAAAGCGAAATCGATGTGGATAAAGATCAAATTTCTAAGCATTTTTTCCCAACACTATCTAAACACAAATACCAAAACAACGATAGTGATTTTTGTTTTCGTAATAAAACGAACCGATTATATTGAGCGGTGCTGTAAATTCAGCCATGCCACCGCGATTTTTTGCAAAGCACGTAAAATTGCCACCATGTTCAGCTTTTACTGATTCGATTGATAAAACATTAATTCGTTTGCCAATTTTCGATGTTGACACTTCCAAATGCGGTGGTATTTCGATACCGTTCAACAGCCAATGAACCGTTATTGGTAAATCACCTGATACAGTACATTGTACGGATGCTGATTCGCCAAATTTCAATTCCTCATCGCCAAATGTAAACGTTGCTATTTTTGGTGGTTCTAATAATACGAATAGGTCAAATTGAATCATTCAAAAGTTATCGAAATAATCGAAACGATATTGGGCTCCTGTAAAAAAAGACTTAGACCAATGAAAAAGAGTGAAGTAAGTAGTGCTATTGTGTCATGAATTCACATCATTTTACATGCATTTTGAATTGATATGCAAGTTGAATAGTTGGGTGTCGATTAAGTGCTTGAGTGAATTTGCCATTTGTCGATTTAACGTTAGTGATTGTGATTGAAGTAGTATGGAAGCGATCTTTTTTTTTCAAAAAAGAAACAGTCGACGCGAATCTCATACACATTCTTGATGCCATAACATATTGTTTTTTTTTTGTCAACCATTACTGAATACAGCTAGAGTGTTATTTAGATGCTCAAAACATTTTGAATTTGAGTCGGTGCTTTTGACTCATCATTAGTTCTCATGATGTTGTTGTTTTAAATTGAGTTTAAATCTAGAGTAGTAGAGTTGAGGTGTTTGCATTTAAAGCAATATATCTTTACCATTCACTGTGATATTCGTCGAATAGCTGGATGAGCCGAACTTATTTTTTGCGGTGCATATATATGTGCCGCTATGTGAAGCGGTTGCATTTGATATTGAGAGTAAACTAGATTTATCCGAAATGCGATTTGTTATAATTTGAATGCCGCGTGAATCATCAAAACCGCGAAAGCTCCATTTTATGGCGAAGCCAATTTTATCGCCCTTGGATATTTGACAAAAAAGATTGAATGCATCGCCAACATTGACAATCTCATCATACGAAAATGGTATTATCGACGGTATAACTATATATATGGAAAATGAAATATAAACAAAAAATATATTCGCCGAACTGATTTTTCTTATGTTCATTAATAAGATTGTTGATGAGGAGTAAAAACTTAAAAAAAGAGACTTGGGTTAACCAAATAAAATCAATAACAAAACATAAAATAAACTATCTCAGAGCTGAATCTCTTTTTCGCAGTAAAATTATTCACCATTGACATAAAGTCTTGTTGTGTAATTAACTTTTCCCCCTTTATTTTCGGCGAGTGTATTCGCCTGAATTTTGATCATTAACCGATGGTATTGTTAATAGACTGATACGGTCGCCAATTTTATTTGTTACCACTCCCAGATGCGAAAACATTGGAAGACCATTATGCAGCCACCTCAACGTTAGCGGTACATCACCTTTGGATGCATGACAAGTCAACTGTACACTATCACCCGAATTGGCTTCTTCTTCGAATGCGAATGGATTAATGTGTGGCAGAACTACATGGAACAATTGATGAGGAATAAATTTTTTTTTTTCAGAGGGATTCAAACCAAAAATGGAATAAAATAGAAAAAAAAAAACAAGTTCGAAGCAGAAATCACAAAATATGTTATATAATTTTTGGTTGGGCCAGCTCGAGCGTACCAAGAACATTTAATTTCGCTGTATAATTATATTGGCCCGCTTCGTTTTCGGAAAAGCACGTATAATTTCCTGAGTTGTCGGCTGTTACCGATGGTACGGTTAAAAAGCTGGATCGATCGCCCAATTTCGATGTTAGAATATTCAAATGAGCGAATAACGGTTTATCATTAAATATCCACTGGATTTTTAGCGGTAAATCTCCCTTGGCAACGTGACAATTCAATTGAACGCTGTCACCGAAATTCACATTTCCATCAAATGCAAAAGGATTGATGTGAGGTAAAACTATTGATAATTATTCCGGACACACAAAAGAAAAAGAAAACAGGAGAGATAAAAATTGAACCGAAAAGAGGAGGGAATTTTTGAAATTAATGCTAAAACCAACGAATGTTTCAACACCCAAACAGAAAATGAATATATGCAAAATTATAATCGAGAAGAAAAAAACCCAGCTGCGTTTTTCTGAAGAAAAAGAAAACAAACCATTCACTTGCAATTCAGCCGAATGCTCAGTTGTACCAGCTTGATTTCGTGCAATGCATTTTATAATACCCCTGTGCTCTTTTTCCACCGATCCAATATTTAAAACGCTTGATTTTGCTGACAATTTGTTAATTGTGATTCCATTTTCGCCCGATATAATTGGTTTGTTATTCAATGTATATTTGATTTGAATTGGAAGGTCGCCTTTTACAATAATGCATGATATCCCAGTACTGTCACCCGTATTGAATGAATCATCGCCAAATGTGAATGGCATTATTTGCGGTGGAACTGCATTGGAAAATTTGCGAAAATCAGAAGTGCATTTTTGAAAATAAAAACTATTCACCACCGATTCAGATGCTTTTTTCATCCCTCTCTTTCGCTAATTTGCTAAAACACGCTGTTGTGGAAAACTCAAAACAATTGGAGCGAAATAATCAGAAGAAAAAAAGGCTACTTTTCAATAAAATACTGCGGTGTTTGTATATTTGTTTGTTTTGCTCTAAAAAAAAATGTGGTTCAATGTTGTACCATTTACGCGTAGTTCGGCCGAGTATTCGGTGCGGCCAGCCTTATTGACGGCTGAACACCGATACTGACCACGATGATATGCGGTCACCGCTTCAATAGTCAGCTGACTTATGCGAGACGATGTCATCACCACATGAATACCATTTTCAATGGTTGTAATTGGCATGTCATTGAAGTACCATGTAACCTTCATCGGTAGATCACCCTTTAGGGCCATGCACTGAACAGCAGCCACATCGTCCGTATTCAATGGATCGTCGCCAAACGAAAATGGCAACAGTTGCGGAAGTACTTTAACACGAAGAAATGGGGAAAAATCATATTTAATTTGATATCGATTGTCAGCCCAGCACACAACCAATCAAACTAATTTTAATGCGTCGAGGATCAAAACACAAATTGGTATATATAACATAAACGAAAGAAAGAAGAAACTCAAATCAACATTGCCACTATAATTTTCACATTTCATTTTCATATGAAGAATGTGTACCATTGACCCATAGCGATGTAGTTTAATTTACGGAGCCACCAAAATTTTCAGCAAAGCACGTGTATAAGCCAGAATGATGATCTCGTACCGATTCGATGCTGAGAATACTTATGCGTTGAATTGTTCGACTAATTGATACGCCATCGTTCGAATAAATTGACTGATTATTACGCTTCCACGTAATTTTTATCGGGACATCACCTTTATTTACGATACACGAAGCTGATACCATATCCATGGCATTGATTTCCTCCTCACCGAAATTAAACGGAACAATTTGTGGCAAGACTAGTGTTTTTGTTTTATGTTTCGAAGAAGTAGTTTATTATAAATATCACTACGTTGCTACGAATCGGTGCGATAATTTCAAACAGACATTAAATTTATACAACGCAGAAATGGAAAATGTTTCACAAATTCGAAGTAAACCTCAAAAACTTTCAACCCACAAAATCTATTGTAAGATGTTAAAAAAACGGTATGCATCGAACCCTAAACGAAGATATAACTCGAATACCTTGCGATGACATAATTTTCCCAATTTTCAAATAGTTCTTTGATCAATTGACAAATTATCATACAATGATTTTTAGATAGGATAGATGCGTAGGATCTCCGCAAGATCCAGATCCAAGCGTGCGTACGCTGCCGCATGATGCATACATATATAATACGCACGCAAATTCGTTATTCTTATTTCCCCTTCTTTGATTCGCATGCCATAGCATTACGGAGTAAGGAATGTATGTATCATGCGGCTACGTACGCACGCTTGGATCCGGATCTTGCGGAGATCTTACGGATCTATTCTATCCAAAAATCATTGTATGCAAATTATAAAATTTTGCTGACATTTTTATGACGGGAAGATTACTAACACTGAAAAGAGATTTTATAGTTTGGAATTTTTTCTGATTCACATGGAAAATTTGTCGTTGTAAAGACTTTTCCACCGAAAAAAAAGTGATAGACAGTATATTTAATACCGGTCATAAATTTTTTGTGTTGAATCGAAGCCTTTTATGTTTGACTATATGATATGAAAATTATAGCATCGAATTAAATTCCATCGAACTTTTGAACATAAATTCTATTCGAGTAAAATCGGTTGAAAGGTAAATCTCATTTCAGTGATAGCGGTGTAGATGGTAAAAAAAAGTATTTTCGGTATCGAATAACTTACCCATAACTTGAACTTCTAAAGCACCGCGAGCACTGTATCCTTCGGCATTTTTTGCAACACAAGTGTATGTAGCCTGATCGGAGTTTCGTTCAACATTTTCAATAATGAGCGTTCCATTCGGGAAGACCTTTTGTTTTCGATTGATTGGCAATGCACGATTGTCTGTACACCGAAAATAAATGAAAATGAGGTAGTTTTCAATTAATATCAACTTACTTATTAGAGTGAAAATTGTTCATTTTAATTACCGCGTTCCCAAACAATAGATTTAATTGGATAGCCAGCAACGGGACATGTAACGATCAATGTTTCACCAGCAACGATTGCTTTCTTTTCCATCGGACGAATGTATGGCAAACCGTAGACATTTATTTTGGCTGAATGTTCAGCGGTGCCAACTTTGCTGCTTGCAAAACCTGTGGCGATTAATGATTTCGAAATTACCGACCATCAATGTTAATAAATTCAAATTTTGTAACGATGCAGTGCATCAAATTAAGTAATTTTGTTATTTTCATAATAAAATATCGCAATAAAATGTGTAAAATTACATTTGTATAAACCACCATCGTTTGCATGAATTGAGGTAATATTTAGATATGACACCACATCGCCATTAACCGTTACATATTGACCGACTTGATAGCGTTCATTGTTTGTTATCTTTTTGCCATCTAATTCCCATGAGATTTCCGGTGTTGGATTGCCACCTGCAACACATTTCAAGAATACCGCCGGTCCGGGACGAAGAGTTTCTTCGGCGAATGCATGACGAATGACGGGTGGATCAACTGAAATTTATTAACGAAAAATTACATTAAATTAAAATGACATTATTATTCATGATTTCGCTACAAACAATATATACTTACATCTTCCTCCCAATTTAAGTTCAGCACTGGCCTGTGCACTTTCCTGATCGTTGCGTACAAAACACTGATACATACCATTGTCTTCTTTCTTAACCGATTCAATACGCAGAATGGCATCACTGTGGTCGATTGGTTTGCCGTCTTTCATCCATGATACGGTTTTAATTGGATTACCCGAATAATGGCATGTGAATACAGCCGGTCGGCCAAAGTCAACAGTTTGTGTGGGTGGATCGATTTTTGCAGACAATGGAGCCGTTACGGTGAGAACAGTTTCAACACTTTCACCACCCACCGAATTGTTTACAACGCACAAATATTTGCCCGAATCATCAATTACTGCATCTTTTATAATCAATGTGCCCGACACCTGTTTGACGCGGTCATTCAAAACAACGGCCTGTTTACGTGTTGTACCCTCGATAAATTTATACCATCTAAATTTAATTTTTTTTTTGTTAAATCGAAGAAAACAAATGGAATTGTATTAGTTTTGAATTGGATAATCTTTTGGATGGCACGCATTTTAAGTCAAATGAATTTTTTTTTATTTAAAAAAAAAAAATCAAAAGTAAAAACAAAAAATTGAAAAAAAATTCATATGAATTTTTGACTTAAAATGTGATGTGACACCATAAGATTTTTTCTATGGATAAAAAAGTGAATGTTGCTCCTGTATAAATATATTCCCAAATGCACATATCCTCGAAGTGAATAATTAATTATCGTCGTAGTAATTAGACGAATAAATATAATTATGACAATGTAATGTACCTATACACAGGTGGTGGACTTGCTTGTGCCTCACACAAGAGGCTAAATGTCGTCGAAATGGCATGTTTAAATGTAATACTTTGAGCATTATTTGCAAACGATGGAGGCTTATAGCCAATTGGATCTGTGCAAGGGATCAATATAATTCAATTTTTAAGGCATTTTTCTCATTCGCGGAAATTCTACATTAAAAATCGACTTGAAAATATATAGATTGAGCTCCTGTTATCCCGAAAACTTTGCATCGCTGCACGAACCCGTTTTTCTTAATTATTCATTAATAACGGTTTCAAGCTGTCATTGAAATATGAACCAACCTTATCAATGGCAGAGGAAAAGCTTGTACTGAACACAACAGAGTTATGTCTTGTCCTTGATGCTTTTCGAATGTGATACTTTTCGATTCGGTGGAAAATGTTGGCGGTTTCGATCCAACCGGAACTAAAGGAATGGGATGAGGTGTAAATGCATCGCGAATGTTGCGAATAAAATATTTGTTTTGAGATAGATACATTTCGCGAAAATTTGTCGTTGAAAATGCACAAAATTCTTTAAAACTTTGCCGATGCCAATCAAGTTATTACCTAATCAATGGCACTGGGTATGCTTGAGCCAAGCACAACAGAACAATGTCTTGCTTCACATGCTTTTCAAACGTTCCACTTTTCAGCTCAGTGGAAAATGTCGGTGGCTTTGATGATACTGGCTCTTTACGATGCAAAATCAAATTGAAAATTGTATTATAATCGTCATTTTCACCTTCACGTTCTTTTTTTGAATAAATCCATAAAATTGAATTGTTGTACGTGTGCGTTATCGCTGCCTTCGACACAGAAATCCAGAAACCATATTTGCATCACTTTTATCATCGAATTTTATTTAAAGCTTTTCCGTCGAATGGCAATATAGATATAAATAAAGAACTAACCGCATCAATGGCACAGGGAATGCTTGGGCATTACATAATAAGGTAAGATTTTGTCCTTGCTGCTTTTGTAGGCCAATTAACGTTGATTCCATTGAAAATGTTGGTTTCTTTGAACCAACGGGCTCTTTTGACGGAAAATAAAATGGCATTTTAAACTTTATTCACCCGATCGCTATTAATCCGAAGTTTGTCGGGATTTTGTTTTGCGTTGAAAATACACAAAACTACAAACAACTTTGCCGCCGAAATGAAATAGAAGTCAATATTTTGTATATTGACACCAAAATATTACCTAATTAATGGTACAGGATGTGCTTGCACAAGACACAATAAGGAAAAATCATCACCAGATTTTTGAATAAATGAACTAGTTTTCGAAGCAGTTGAAAATGTTGGTCCTTTCAGTCCCACTGGCTCTGAATTTTGAATGATTTTTTTTTACAAAATAATTTTGTTTTTAAACTGTAAGCACCATAAAAATGGCCATTTCTTCTTTTTTTTCTATTTAGTTTTTTTTTGCTGCCTGTGCGTTTGTTTACTTTTTTTACTGGACAAAAATTCCAAAATTCAGAAACCGATCATGTCATTTTAAATTTTAAATCAGAAATCGTCGATTTTTTTTTCTATTTTAAATTTGAAGTGGAAAAAATTATTTGTAAATGGCATACCGTATCAATGGCACAGGGAATGCTTGAGCATTACATAATAAGGTAAGATTTTGTCCTTGATGCTTTTGTAGGCCAATAATCGTTGATTCCATGGAAAATGTGGGCTTTTTTGAACCAACGGGCTCTTTTAACGGAAAATAAAATGGTTAAACTAATCCAGATCGACCGGATTGATCCGAAGTTTGTCGGGAATTTTTAAGGCAAACTCTGGATGGAAAATATCTGGTGATTTAACATTCTTGTTCACCATTTTTTCAATTGCGTTGAAAATACACAAAACCACAAAACTTTGCCGCCGAAATGAACTCATAAATATCAACTCAAATTATTACCTAATTAATGGTACCGGATATGCTTGCACAAGGCACAATAGGGACAAATGTTCACCAGATTTTTGAATAAATGTACTACTTTTGGAAGCAGTTGAAAATGTTGGTCCCTTCAGTCCCACTGGTTCTGAATTTTAAATGATTTTTTTTTTCAAACAGTTAAAATACATTGAAGCCACCATAAAAATGACCGTTCCTACTTTTTTCTATTTATTTATTTTTTATCCACCTGTGCGTCCATTTACTTTTTTGTTAAACAAAAATTCCAAAAATCAGAAAAAGCGTTTTAAAGTGGAAAATTGTTTTGAATGGCATACCGTATCAATGGCACGGGATGCGCTTGTGCTAAGCAAAGCAAAGCGAAACTTTGGCCTTGATGCTTTTGAAATCCAATGCTTGTCGATTCCGTTGAAAATGTCGGTTTTTTTGAACCAACGGGCTCTTTTTCCAAAAAAAATTGATTATAAATTTTGTTTTAGATAGAAACTTTATACTATAAAGAACAATTTTCTGTCTGAATGCCTGAATGAAAATGCTGTATAGAGCCATTGAAATCGAAATTCTTATTGAATGCCTGCCCGATATCAGTATTTTAAGGTCAAATCATCTTAGTTGCGATTTAAATATCTTTCGTTTGTGGCTTAACAATCGTTTCAAATGACTAAGTCCTGAATACATTGTTAGAAAGTGAAAGATATTAGTTCATCTGGTAATAACGACATGGATCGACTGCATCTTAATAGTTATTATAGTTAGTCATTCGATATGCTGCACATTATGCAAATGAGTTTCAAGTGTCATAATCATAACCTGACAAACAAAAGTCAAGTCATTTGTCTGACATACCTAATTAATGGCACAGGAAAAGCTTGAACTAAACACGTTAATGCAAAGCTAGTTCCCATGTGTTTTTCGAATGTAAAACTTTTCGACTCGGCCGAAAATGTTGGCCCTTTCAATCCCACCGGTTCTAAATTTATATAAATAATTTTAAAACAGTTAAGATACGTCGGATTTGCCATAAAAGTTGTCATTATGATCTACCACCTGTGCGTTTTGTTTCATTTTCGGACATAAATTCCAAAAAAATATCTGATCTGTTCATTTTTTTCAAATTGAAGTTTGATTTTTCAAATGGCATACCGTATCAATGGCACAGGAAACGCTTGTGCCGAACATAGCATAGCGAACGTAGAATGTTGTTGTCGAGCAAAAATACTGCCCTTTGATTCGGATGAAAAAGACGGTGCCCGTGATTGGACAGGTTCTTAAGCGAATTAAATAGAAATTATTTGTTTAATATTTCACACATGAATGAGTACTAGCCACGACAACATATAGTGTATTTTTACAGCCATACCGAATGTTGGGATTTCACTTAGTGAACTTGACTTTGCTGTATTTTTTCATGTTTCTCTTTTGCGTCTATGTATAACATAATCGGGTTTTAAAAAAAATCGCGAGCCATCCATGCGATTGCCAAGACAAATAATTCGCCGAAGGTTAAGTAGAAAATAATCCAAGACGGAGGAACATTTAACAGTAATAAAAGAGAATTAAAACGGATAGAAAATGTCATGTAATTCTCGTAGACAAAATCGATTCGCGACTAGACTTGTCTGTGTTGCCATCAGCCGGAGAAAAGTGCAATTGTTGACGTGCAGTATTTGAGCGCATTCGATTTCATTGCACTGTGTGAATATTGCATATTGCAATACCTTCAAAACATAAGATAAATATATGTAGTCAGAGAAATGTCACGTTTATTTTTGCCGGTGGTGATCATGAAAATATTCTCATGTTATACGAAAGAAAAACAAAACGCCAATGTATGTGGGCAGCATACAATCACTCTCCCTTTCAATTTTCCACATTTGAGATTTGTTTGGTTTTCCATACGCGCAAAATACACGCACACACACACATACTAATATTAGTAGCTGGATCAGCTGTTCCGTTTGTGTGTATTGATGAGAATGAAGCGCGTGTATAAATCAATACACTTGCATATGTCGAATGTATGTTTTCAACTAAAAAAATCATCACCCGTATATACACGCATGCACACCACTACTCTGTCGCTGCAAAGTGGAAACAATACAACTTTTAAAGGCTCCTATATAGTTTAACCTATGGATGTATACAGGAGATACGGTTGAGTTAATGCATTCAATGCGTTGCGTTTGCCGCATCAATCGAAACGTAAAAAGCACATGGTACACAATGGGCTAGCACATGCATTCGATACACAGTCACGCGTAAACAAAGGGGGAATTTGTTGACGGGGAAATGTTTTTTTTTGCTCACATCGGATACGCTTGCACATTGGTGAGCTGATGAGAGACAGTCTCCGTCGGGGAAAATGTTTGTATGTGGTCGTTCTCTCTGTGTGTGTTTTTTTTGTTTCATTTTTTTGGTTCATGTTTGGTTGCTGTGGAGAAGTTTTGTGTACAACTCGAAACGCCAGATGATTTCATGTGTGTGGATAAATTGACAGAAAGTAGTAGGCGATTGAACAAACAAAACTATGATCAACATGTTTTATTTATCATCAAAAGAGACTCTTTTTGTATAAATCTTTACTCTTTTCGTTGAATGAATAAGACAATTTTCGATCACACAAATATGATACTGTCTTGATTTTAATCGGTTCTTTAACGTTTTGGACCTTTGTGGGAAACAATTTATAATTATACGTATGCATTATGAGATTAAAATGAAGTCAGAACATAAATCACACAGTCTGTGAACACACTATATAAAAGTGCAACTCTTTTTTGAAATGAATCATTCACTCAGCCTGGTCATTTTATCCACAAATCATTGCAAAATTTATTCAAAGAATTTTGCGTTATCTTGGACCAGTCAGTTTCTGTGACAAACTTTTTTTTTTGAACAAACAGATTATTCTTCAATGAACTTCAATGATGTAAAATCAGTTTCTATGCTTCATTTCAGCAAATCTTCACGTCGAATAACTTGCGTCGTGCAGCAATAGAATCAAGGCAAATTAATCGCATTAAACATTTATGTTGATTCAACCGTGTGGAAGTGACGATTATTAAAGTTGTGGCGGCAGTATTATCGATGTGGTTTTTAGAAATTGTTGTGGTTGCAAAAGCATTGTAAAGTCATTTAGTTAAAAACAAAAACCGACCCAACTGCCGTTATGAATTCAACAACGTTGCCATTGAAATTCTCTCCTAGATTCACTTGGAATTTTTTTGAATACAAACCTAAACACTGGCACTGGAAATGCCTGACTATTACAAAACATTGTCATTGGCTGGTTCATGCGACGTTCAATGCGTATAAATTTATTATCAGCTTGTATTGTCGGTGCCTTAGAGGATATAGGCTCTGCAAATGTTTTATGATTTTGCATGAATTTCATAAATGTAACCAAGCATTTGTGTAAACAATCGGTTCCGTTTCAAAAAATGTTTCTTTTTTATGCAATAGTTCGATTTACCTGAATGAAGGCATAGGGTACGCTTGAACCAAGCAGAACAATGCAAATGTATGCGTCGATTCACGCTCAATCCATGACCGTTTCAAATCATTGGATTGCAATGCGGGTGGCTTTGCCATTATCGGTTCTATTTATAAAAAAAATTAATTCAAACTAAGCGCAATTCGTTGATTTTTTTTGTTTTAATAGCGCGCGCTGTTGAGATAGGAACTACCCACTTTGCTGTTAAATCATATTCCACTGATGGATATTGTTCAATGCTTCATAATTGGTAAAATGTCTTACTTGAAGTTTGGCAGTGGCATGCTTTGCACAGCACATAATAATGATATGTTTTCATTAAATCGAATATCGATTGTTCGACTTTTATCACCGGTTGTTATTTTTGGAATAATTGAGCCAATCGGTTCTGCAAAATATCAATTTCATCTATATCGTTTTTTCAATGATTTTATTTCTTTTTTCTTGTCTAATCCACTCTGAATGTTGGGCGTCAAGTACTGTAGCGCATTTTGCTATTGGCTCTTCGTTGGTAATTGAACGTTAATTTACCTGAACAACGGTGCTGGACTTGACTGAGCATTACATAGCAATCGAACGTTATTTCGAGCACGTGTACGAACAACAGTGAATTCATCGCCTTCGTTGAACTTTGGACGAACACTTGACACCGGTTCTGTCATTGACAGTATGAAATAATTAGAATTTTTTTAAATCAAATTTCTAGTAGGAATTGCGTCCAGCCCAAATGTTGGTGGAACTATGTGCTCCTTGTTTATTTCATTTGCATTTCATTTTAAATAAAGACACAGTTTTTTTTTCTCGATAAATTGCCATACACTCAGTTCATCATAGTTATTTGAACTTAAATATACCTAAACAGCGGTGCTGGGCTTGATTGTGCATTGCACAGCAATCGAATGCTGTTCTGCGCTCGTCCACGAGCACTTTTCAATTCTTCGCCTTCATTGAATTTGGGTCGAACGCTTGACACCGGCTCTGTCATTGACAGAACAGAAAAGTTACAACAACATTTTTTAAAATAAATTTCTAATATGAAGTGCGTCCAGCCTAAATGTTGGTCAAACCAGTAGCTCCTTGCATTTTTTTTTTTCAAAATAAAGACACTTTTTTCGCTACAATGCCATACTTAGCTTCTGTTTTTGAACACCAATTTACCTGAACAGTGGTGCTGGACTTGATTGAGCATTACATAACAATCGAACGCTGTTTTGCGCTCGTGCACGAGCAATATTCAATTCATCGGCTTCATTGAATTTGGGTCGAACGCTCGACACCGGCTCTGTCAGTGACAGAACAGAAAAAATTTACAATTTGAATAAATTTCATCAAAAGTTTTTTTTGGAGCATGAATCGTGTTCAGCCTAAATGTTGGTCGAATTCTCATTGCATTTGCATATTGACACTTCTTTGGTTTCAACGCATTCATTTTCTGTTGTTATGCTTCACAAGTAGCGATAAAACAAGTTTTTTTTTAAAATATCGTTTAAGAAGAAAAAGAAAATGTCCTTTGCTTACCGGAAAAGACTAATGGGCCATGATTGTATCGGGCACAGCAATGAGAGGCTGTCGCCTTGCCGAACACGAGGTATATTTAATTTATCAGCCTGACTAAGTTTTGGCGGGAGGCTGTTTATCGGTTCTATTTAAAATAATTTTTTAACGTTTTAAATTTAAATGTCATTTTTTTACGTTTTATGAACATTAATAGTCATTGCCAAAATCTTGATCATAGGTCCACTGTGCTGAATTAACTAGAATTCCGGTAAATAATGGTAAAAGCATGAGATAGTTTCAAATTCTGGCTGTGGCTTGACGCATAGCTTATATATCTGAGAGAATTTTTGTTTTCAAGGCATGGCCTTTAAAAGTGAACATAGAAGTCGGTGTTTCAAATTTTGGTTTCGAAATTTCCGTATTTTTTTTTCTTCAAATTTCTCGTTCCTAACAGGTCCGCCAGGAGTGTTGTTTCTTTTAAATGGTCTTTGAAGATATGTTTACCTGTACGAAGGTGTAGGATAACTTTGAACCGGGCACAATAAACTAATGGTATGGTTAAAGTATGTTGTTGCTGCTTTGAGTTTTTCAGTAGCTTCAAGACGTGGTGCCACACTTTGTATTGGTTCTTTACAAAATATTTGAAAAGGAGAATGTCAATTTATCTTTTATACATTTTGAAGATTTCTTTTTAATTTCAAGTTGAGTAGATAGTCTGTGCGTTTGATTTGAAATTATCATCTTGGTTCGATGCATAAATCGAAATTTCGTTGGAATAAAATCGCTAAAAACTTTCTGTACGGTAGATGTGAGATATTTACCTGTACGAAGGTGTAGGATAACTTTGAACTGGACAAAGTAGGCTTATTGCATTGTTTGAACGATCAGTTACCAATCTGAGCTTTTCAATGGTTTCAACACGTGGTGGCACGTACTGTATAGGTTCTATTAAATTAGAGCACGTAACACTTTTTTAGTGAAAAATGTTCATCAACATGTCGAAATGCACTGAATGTTGGCTTAAATAAACTCTGTGTCATAGTTTCATACCACAAGATAACAGCAACGTTGTATCGTGATCAAATTTCTCGAAATGTAATGATTAAAAAAATGGAATAATTCGTTTACCTGTACGAAGGTGTTGGATAACTTTGAATTGGACAAAGGATACTGATCGAGTGTCCCAAAGGAACAGAGGCTAACTTTAGTTTTTCACCGAGTTCAAGGCGCGGAGCAACAAATTGTATAGGTTCTATTTAAATGAAAGATTATTTATGTATTCTCCTGCTCAATTGGTAATCGATGGTTAGAAATAAATCTATATTTGATAATTCACAGACTTCGCCCGAATGCTGACATAAGATAATTTTGAGTTGAGCATAATTTGCTGACTTTTGTTTGTCTTGTTTATCTGAATGCCCGTTTTCTATTCACAGTGTTTCAAAATAAAAAAAATGTATCTCACCGAAAAATTGGCGCGGGGTAAGCCATTGCTGGACAAGCAATGTTAATTGTACCATTAACTCGAACACGTACACCCCGTACACTGAACTCATCAGCGACGCTAATTTTTGGGCTAATTCTTCCAATCGGTTCTATTGGAATGAGAACATTTGTTACATTTTTGTGTTACATTGAACACAATTTTAAGCAAAAAAAAAAATCATACTTTCGTCAACATATTTAAATGCGCTGAATGTTGGCTTAAACTAGCCATGTGCTATCTTGAATATAGGCAAATATATCGAATTGACATCAAACGTTACCTGTATGACGGTGTTGGGAAACTTTGAATATCACAGAGCAAATTCGTGGTTTGTTTCATTTGAACAAAAGCCACTCGATATTTTTCGGTGAGTTCAAGACGAGGACTCACACTTTGAATCGGTTCTGAAAAGAGTCACGTATATTTGACGAGGACATTTTCGTTACTCATTAAAATAGACCTGAATGCTGGAATGGGATAACTCTGAACGGGGCACAGCATTGAAATTTGATGTCGTAATCTAACATTTGCTATATTTGTTTTATCGCCAATATTCACATTCGGTTTAGCACTTGAAATCGGTTCTAAGAAGCCCAAAAAATAATCATTTCGCTTTAGATAACAATTTTTCAAAATCGAAGTGTCGATGCCGACATTGAGACAGGGTTTTATGTATGCGAGAAAAGTATACAAAATTGTTCGCCTGGTGTTCATCAAAAAAAAAACTAATAGTAATTTACCGAAAAGCGGCTAGGGGTGACGATTGTGCGGGACATAAAAAAGAGACGCTATTTCGTTCAGCCACTTTTAGACGATTGAAATCTTCGCCAGATGTTATCTTTGGTGCAACCGATTGCAATGGTTCTAAATGCAAACGAAAATAAAACTCGTTTTACAGTCGATACTGCGTTGGCAGTTTTTCAAACAGAATTTTTTTGCGACGATTGAATAAATTAGCCTGAATGTGGGCATCGAATAACCACTGTATTTTCAACATTCTAATTTTTAGTGTGTGGTAATAAACTTATTAAACTTTGAGTAAAAAAAATGATTTACCGAAATGCTCCAATGGGGAAAGATTGTGCCGGACATAATAACGCCACTTTTTCTTGTCCGGCTACTTTCATTCGTTTTAAATCGTCACCGGATGTCATTTTTGGTGCAACCGATGTAACAGGCTCTTTTTTTCAAACAAAAGTAAATACAGGTTTTATAAGACTTTTGAAGTGTTTTACTATTCGAAATGTGTTAAGAACACATGATTACCAGCGAATTGAATCGATGTTTTAATGTCAAACACTAGAATATTGGGATATGTTTTGCGTTTGCATGTTAATGTTTCAAATGAATTTAACTATTTGAATCACAGCGATGAAAATTAAGTTTCGGAAGTATTTTCACCTTTTAGCAACGCTACGTGAATCGGATATAACAAACTTGTGACGTGTTTCACATTCAACGATACATGTCGGATCTTGTCAGCGTGTAAAACTCGCACGGACTTTGGAATTGTTCAAAAAACTACGAATTTAATTTTGAAAAGAATTTATAAAGAAAAGTTCTGATGGCGCACACACAGCATTATGTTAACTATCAACATCGGGGAAAAATAATAGATGCGATACCAAGTCTGGCGAAATGAAATTCGATTTGCGGTGCATATGGAGCAGAATATTTAAATTCTTTTCATGTTGGCATGATAAATTGGCGCTTACCGAAAAATGGGAGGTGGAGATGCCTGGCCGATGCACTTCAATGTTATTGTCGAACCCGACTGACCTGTTTCAACAATGATATTTGGGCCAGATGTGATTTTCGGTGCAACGGCTCCAATCGGTTCTGTAAGTAATTTTCATTGTTTTGTGTGTGTGTGTGTATTTGTTTTTTTTTTTTTTGCATTTGATGTGTGTGTATAAATGAAATTCAAACAGAACACGCCAATTATGTTTACATCATATTCCTGTGCAAAACAGTGACTATTTACATTTGAATTCAAACGAAATTGGTTTCAAACATTGAAGGAAAAAACTTGAGAAAACACTCGCAACCAAAATTATTCGGTAATGGTCTTTCAAAGGTAAAATCATTTTTTCACTTACCTGTGATTTTATTCTCTTTTTTTTCTTTAAATTAAGCTTAACTTTGAACAGTATAATAAGTAAGCAAACTTTTCAACTTATCATTTGGAAGAGATACGATATGTTAATAAAGTATCGAACAAATAGCATTGGTTTCGTGTACTTTAATAATATCAAGCAGAAGCTATCTGTCAGTAAAGCTACACATATTCGAGATTTCTGAATTTTGTTTTGATTTTCAACTGAATGCCGTACGCAATGAATATCAACATTCGCCAGAACATTCGATTTTAAGACGATGAATCATACGGCACGTGTATGTGTGCGCGATACAGCAAAGTTTTTGGAATTTTGTGTCTTTTCATCTCAATTTCGGTGTTCATATAATCGAACAATGACATCAAATTAAACGAAAAAAAAAAACAATCATCGGAAGTTTTGCATCGACCCCGTGATAATATTAATTTGCAAAGGTGCACTTCAACACCAATTTATAAAGACTATGGACGGTTCTTTTTTTCCTGCTCACTTTGATGTGCCGAATTGAAATTGCAAATACGCAACGCACAGGGTACCCTATCCCAACATTCAGGCATTCAACAACAATGTCGCAATTCGTTTTTCTTTTGCTCCCTTCTATCTATGCATGAAAGATTTGAAGAAAATTTCCAATTAGTTTTGCAAGGAAATCGCGGAGAAAATGGAGAAAACTTTCAATTGATTCGGTCGCAGTGAAACGTTTATTATTTTAATTGCATTTTGGATAGCGAGTTCATTGATTTGAGGCTGTACTGCATGAGCGCATCGCCTCATGTCATACAGTCTCATCGAATGAACACAAACTTATTCGGACAAAAAGAAAAAAGAAAAACGAAATTGCAATATTGTTGCTTTCGGAATCGACTGTTTTTCACTTGACTTTATAGCCAAATGTATGTTTTTTCAACACTTCAAATGAATGTTTATTGAAACATTAATAATATTAATTATTATGTTGAAGGAAAGTTATTTGCTTTTGTCGAACGCTTTAATTCATACAACGGAAAATTAAAATTACTCGATTAAAATTACGAAAAAAAGCGAAACAATTTTATATCTGCGAAAGATAAAATCCAATGAATATAAGTTACAGTTTCAATAATTAGACCATACACGCATATACGCAATATGGGGTCAAATTGCCGACAAACAATTTGATTCGCGCTCAATAAATTACCAAAAGCAGTAAATAACTTTGCTTCCATAAGATGGATAACAATAAATTGCATTTAAAGTGTTGATCTAAAAAAAAGAATTGGATGCATAAAAGCAATTGGATTTATTATTTACACACTAAAACTGATTGAGTTCAATTGAATATTGGATATGGCTCTATTTTTTTAAATTGAATTTTAGCCAAATGATTTAAGTCTATTTGCTATCCAGTCATTTATCTCTTTTGCATCCAATTCAAATCAATAATAATATACAAATTGATCAATATACAATCGCTTGGAACGCTCTTTAATTTTTTTCTCGGAATCTTCCGATTTCAATCAACTCTATTAATAAAAAAAAACAATTCCATTTCAAGCAATTGTAAATTGATTATTCATTGGATTATTTGATAAAATGATGAATATGGAAATGGATTGAAAACTCTTTATAGATTGCTTCAACAACTTATTCAAAGTAGTATAATTGAAGATTTCAATTACATGGGTAACACATAGCACACATTTTTCTCTAGACCTTTCCATAATTCAATCTCTTTCATCAAATAAACAAATGAAACAATCAAGTTTATGGTGGTTTTAATTTAATGTTGTGAATAGCACGTAAAATTCATACCAGTAATTACGAGGCGTCCTTTAGTGGCACTTAATCGTGCTTCGCCAGTCAAACGATGCTTTGTACGACACTGGTAGCTCTTGTATCCATCTTCTGGTCCAACTTCGCGAATATGCAATTCACCGGATGGTAACACCAAGTATTTTCCGTCTGTTCGACACATTCATGGTAATGGGAATAAAAAAATAGTATTAGACAATCTATTCAAAAGAATGTGTACGTTGTATCAAACTTTAAAAGCTACTTTAGATGTTGCTAATTTGAGAGGATATACGCCAAAAATAGTTGTCAAACAATTTCAAACTCAAATTTTATGCTGGTCGATGCAACTACCAGTATTTTTATTTCAATTTTGTTTTTCGTAAAGAAAAATACTTTGAAGTTTGACTAATACTCTTTGGCTTACATCTTCCAATAGACATTCTTCAAAGCAAAGTTGTACTTTTCATGTTCTTTCGATACGCTTTTTTCCTGGTACGCAAAATTAGGTAAGTATAATTTCAAACTATATCCATTTTTTTTATTCGCTGAACAACTTTACTTTGAATATCTACAGAATAATTATTTAGAAAAAGGAAAGAAAGTGACCAGTTTGTATAACGAACGATTCAGCTTCTTAAGTCTAGTAATATTGTGGAAAACTGAACCATTCTGTTTGAATGTAAAAGCATATGTATATCATTCATTGTCATACAAACAGTATTTACAATTCTAAAACTAAATAAGAAATACACCTTCAGAGCAAGGTTTATATTTCATTTTGCGCAGTAAAAAACAAAGTAATATTCGCAAAAAATACGAACTTATTGAACAAACCTTACTCTGATGACATACCAATTATGACCAAAAAAGAAATAGTTACAACAAAATAAATCAAAGCATGCAGTTAAGACTAAAACTAGAAAACACTGAAGGCGGATTTCCATTTTTTTTCGGGATTGTGGAGGTAGATCAGGAGCGATCTATGGAATTTTAGGAATTGGATTTTATCTCGGTTTCCGATAAAAAAAATTGTGTTCTGTTTAAAAGTTGCAAATCAGAATCGATTGCCAAAATTTTGAGCCAGAACCGAAGGCAAGTAGAAAACCAAGAAAAAGGATTTTGAGATTTGGCTTCCTTTCATTTGTCATTAAAGATTTTGAGCATCATTTTCAGTTGACAGAAATCAGACTTAATTGTGTGTCTAATCGTTCGTACATCGTATCAAACATACGAACGACAAAAAAGTTCCAAAGAAACACTTTGAGCATCATATAAATACTTATTAGAAAGAAATTTCTTTAGTTTCTACTTGATTATTTCGAGTATGTAACATCATCAACAAAATATGATCTTTTTTTTTATTCTTGTGCTGATCACATTATAATGCTAAATGGAAAATGTTGTATCAAGTACCGATTGTGTGAATATCGATGCCATTTTCATCGGCATGAATTTCCGTAATATCGCCACTTTCATCCAAAATCCATGCTGAAACGTAGACGAAATCGATCACGAAACTGGGAATATGACATTTAACGATGGCTGCGTTTCCCTTGAGCACATGCTCGTCCATGACATTAACCGAATAACTTTGTGGCACCACTACAGCCGAAATGAAACATAGAGATTGAATTAGAGATAAGAAAGAGAGAAGAGAGACAAAATCATGAACAAAATTAGATCGATTGTTTTGATGTGCTGAAATTTCATATGGAATTTATTTGCGAATGTTTTTTTTTCTCTCACAGAGAAGAAAATTTGAAACAACGATGTAGATGGACATTTTCCATTAATTTTTGGCTCCATGGAAAAACGTTTGTGTTCATTCTTAAATCATTCTTTCTAAACTAAATAATTTATATGTGTGATCAATGGATGTGATTGGAATAAAAAAGAATGAAAAATCCGCCGGCAGCAACAATTCAGTGGAAGCATTGAAATAATGCCATTTGTAAGAAAATTAATTCACAATATTACCGCTGCTATTTTCATCTTTGGTATAATGACTGCCATTGGTATCGACCCATTCAATAATTTCCACATGATCGGATACAAATGAAGGAATATTGCATTTTAAAACGGCAGCATTTCCTTTGATTACATATTCATCGTATACTTGGGACTCATAAAATTGGCTGACCACTATACATTAAAATATGTAAATAGAATATATAAATAAAAAACAATACAAATCAGCGAATCACAACATTTTCACGATTGAATATTAAGAGTTTTAAGTGCACAAATGCCTTTACAACTTCATATTTCTCTAACACAGCATCAATTTCGAACAGTATATTGCAAATGGGAAGATTTAAAGTTTTTCAACTTCTTCACATTTGTTTGGTGTGTTTTTCGTTTCTCATTTGCCTAAACGGAATATGAGAAGTGTTTGGTTGAGTTTTTTGGATCAATTTGTATGGATTTATGGAAATCTGCTTTCAGATGTGCACGATATTTGATATCATAAGAAGGATGTTGACGTGTATACCGAAATCGTTGGTGTTTGGCAATATTTCTGTGCCATCGTCGGCGATCCATGCTTCAACATAGACAAAATCGGCTACAAATGATGGCAGATTGCATTTTAGAATGGCAGCATTGCCGCGCAGCACAAATTCATCAATAACACGTGTTTGGTAGAATTGTTGAACAACTGTGATAGTTTCAATGCACAATAAACGAGCAACGCATCATCCATGAAAGTAAATGAACATTCAAAAGAGACGAGAAAATCATTTAATTTTTGGAACATAATCAAATGAAATGATTGAATTGACGCTGTGTGTTTGCACAGCTCGACCGATTATTATTGCTCCGATCATTTTCACAGCACAGGACGAAATGAGGGGATATTCGAAATGTTTTGACGTGGTGAACGCAGTAGGAAACCATTTTTATTGATAATAAACCGAAAACTTGTATAATATGAAATTTGTTAAGTAAATACAAATTAAGAGGATACTACAATAACGACGATGCGAATATGAAGTTAAATTGCAAAATAATGATACCGTATTGATCGTTATTTGGATAATATGAACCGCCATCGGAATCTGTCCACATATCAACAACAATAAAATCGGAAACATATGATGGAATCTCGCATTTCATAATGGCAGCATTGCCACGTATGACATATTCGTTGTCCGCTTCAGCCTCATATGGCTGAATTACAACTGAAATGAATGTGAATGATAATGATGAGGATGTCATTCAATTCAATTTCAAAACAAAAAATTAACTTTCAAGAATTTCAACTTCAAACGACTCAAATGTAATATACTGCGAACTTTTGAGATCATTAAATTGTAACTTAATTGGGTTATGATGGCAACATTGCGCTCAATTCTTTGTTTTTTATTTCTTCTAACTTCCTATTTCCTTATCTGATTTCATTAAAATTAATTGAGACGAAAATTGAGTGATAATTTTTTAATTAAGTCGTGCTCTCGAAAACTGCACCGTGTGAAAATAATATGAAAATTAATGGATGAAAGGAGAGATGAAACCGATGCCATGGAAATCCGCTTCAATGTCAAGTCATCAGACTCAGATTCAATGAGAAAAAAAAGCCACCTCATTATATGAAAAATGAAATTAAAAACAAAGGCACAAACATGTGACGAAACGATAGTAAGTCATCTTGAATTGGTAACAACAACATGGTGACGCTTTTTTTACTACATTTTTTTATACTTTGTTATTTAAATATATAGAAAATCGAAAAAATGTTTTATTTGGGGAAGGAAAAAGCTTGCGAGAGAAATAACCATATGATGATGAATCATTTGAAGGTGTTAACACGGTGCCGTCTTCAGCATTAATCCATGCTTCAACCTGCACGAAATCAGCAACAAAAGATGGGATTTTGCATTTCATAATAGCTGCATTTCCTTTAATAACATATTCATTTTCTGCCTCGCTCATGTAGAATTGGGTCACCACTGCGATTTTATGATATTTGAAAAGCAGAACACACACGAATAAGTGCAAGGGAAATATAGTCATAGATAAATTGAAACAAAACAGAAAAAAAATGAAACGAAGGTATTTAGAATATATATGTATAAATGACATTATATGTGAAGAAAGTAAAGAACAGAAGTGTCACAGACACGAAACAATTTCTGAGGCGCACCAATTCGTTTTCATTCTCTTTCTCCCTCTCTCTTTTTCTCTCTCTCTCTCTCTCTCTCTCTCTCTCTCTCTCTCTCTGTGTGTGTGTGTGTTTTGATCATCAATGCTCTAACGCGCTCACTTTTCACATCAATAAAACAAACCCATATATGTGCATTGTTGCGGTGAATCGTGACAAAGTGCATATGCATCATTCATTGTACACAAAAAGAAAATCGAATCGCTCGTTTATTTACTTGGAATGCATCAATTATTCAAAATGGATCCGTAAACGTTGTTCGGTCGGGAAATGCATTGCTGATATGGGGATCATATAAAACATATTTTAAGAAACCTCGGCTCGAAACATTTTCCGTATTTACATTTGGAAAAACCACACACACACGCACACACACACACACATTTTTATATACACATTTATGCACATTCGCTTGCTCTCAGCGCTGCGACTACATCAAACCTCACTCGCAGTCTGTGTAATCCATAACAGAATTGGGAGAGAAACGGTGAACGAGTGCATACTAAAAGAAAGTAAAAATCGCTAATAATATGTGCGCGCGTATGTATTATAGATACCATTTTGGTGTCATTCACTCTTCCATTCTCTGTGCTGCATATACAACGTGCATTGTGTCAGTTATTTTTAGATTCTTTTAGTTATTATTGTTGTTGTCGTCATCATCGTCGTCATTTTCCACTTCGATATACTTTTTGACTCTTTCCATCTCTCTTTCTCTCTACCGTTCAAAAGAAGACGAAAACTTTATGCTGTATCGGATTGTATAATGCCTATTTTCATGGCAAATCAGCTTTTCAAATTGTAGTTGTAAACAGGCAAAATAGTTATGAAAATCTTTTCATACAAAAGAATGTATTAGGCAGGCGGTTTCAGAACCGATTTTCTGCTAGAACAAACTGTATCATAACTTGTTATTTCTTTCAAAACTGTGCTCATTTCACTTAAGTATGATGATGACAAACAATCACAATAGCCTTATTTTGTTCATTGAAGGGGCGAATATATTTGTTTTTTTCGAAAGGAATTCAAATTTCAGGCACCTTCAGTGTTTTCTCATATATTTTTTTACCCATACGCATTTTACACACCATAATTATCGGAATATTTGTAAACGGTTCCCTCTTCATCGACCCACGAATCAACATACACAAAATCGGCCACAAATGACGGAATCGAACATTTTAAAACAGCCGAATTCCCTTTGATAACATATTCTTTGAGGATTTCAGCATCGTAGAACTGATTCACCACTAAATCAATCGAGAAGAAAAAGAGTACAAGAGCATTGAAATCAGCCCAAAGACATAAGGAAAAATATTACATCACAAAATTAGGTTACGAGCTATCGCTTATTGTATGCCCTATAACCCAAGGAGCTAGAAAATAAATTGTGTAGTACACGATGTGGATAGAGAAGGGAAGATTGATTTTTAAATGGAATTTGTTAAAGCGGAAATCGAAAAATAAAATTGTCCTTTTCGATCTGTTCATTGCACAATACATTGTAATAATTTTTTTTTCTCTTGAAAATCGAAAAAAGAAGGAAAATTATTCCATTCAATTTTCTAAAAGAAAAAAAAAAACCATTTCAAAAATCTAAGAAATGAGAAAAACATTGTATTCTGGATGTTGAACATTTATGATGATCACGAAATGAAATGGAAACCATTGCCTTCAATATTTTCGAATATTTTTTTTTAGAAACGATTATTGTGAAGTTCAATTGAAACGTTGCACTGTGTCTAACCATAATTTTCACTTGGAAGCAGTTCGGTTCCTTCTTCGTCAATCCATGCTTCAACATAGACAAAATCGGCCACAAATGATGGTATCGAACATTTCATTACGGCCGAATTCCCTTTGATTACATATTCTAATGGAAGAATGTCCGCGCCATAATGTTGATTAACGGCTGAACATTGAAAACAAAACAAAAACGAACGCGCCGACCCAAAGAACAGGACACAATTAATGGAGCAGCACATATGAAATAAATGTCGTCAGATATCGTCAGATTTATAAAATATTATCTATATATTTGTATGTATGAAATATGTTAGATGAAAGATATATGAATGAGTGAACACGAAAGGCTCATTATTTGTAGTAGTACATGTCACGTAGTACATCACGTAACATTGCTTTCGTTGGATGTCATCGATGTTTATGTGTTTGGATTCCAATTTGCAGTTTATACGTATTACACCAACTAATCGGCTCAATACTTATGGCAGATACATATAATATTCGTGATTGGTAATACACGTGATGCTGGCGGCGTGTTTATTCACCTGAACTTTTTAACTCGACACTGTCAGTTTTTTTTAATTTTTTTTTTAAAATTTAGTAATGGGTTTAATTTTCTGGACGTCAAAAAAATGGAAATATGCCATTCGGTGTTTATGAAAATTATATTGTAAAATTCTATTTAAAACCGAAAATT